GAAGCTGTTTCGAAGCAAAATTAATCCTGGAAGCCTTCTTAAATTATTCCTCGCCACGCCGGTAATTAATACTTATCCCGTTTCTTCTATCATCCGTTGATCCTTCTGTATCTCCCTTCATTTCTGGGGAGGGAGGGGGGAAACGAACGAAAGAAACAGGATAATTTATTAATTTTCCCTGAAAAAATTAAAAAAAAGGATCGACTAATTTTCAATAAGTCGACTTTAATTTAACGTATTTTTATTATTATTATTATTATTATTATTATTATTATTATTATTATGAGATATTATGAGAATCGACGATGTTAACCTCTCGTTGTAAATTCGTTTTTAAAAGTAATTAATTTCCTGGAAAAAATTCAGGAATTTGTTTTTTTGCAAGCACGAAATGATGACTCGATTCCATAAATGTGCAAAATAATTTTCAAATTTATTTAGCGGCTGGGCGTATCGTTGAATGATACCTTTTTATAACGTTTAAACACGACTTGATCGGTGTTTTATTAATTGTTTCGTTATAAAAAGGAAAAAAAGTAAATTGTTGCGTTATAAGTAACAATGTTTCAATATCGGAATCGAGATTTAAAATTTAGAGTGGCGTACGAAAAATTGCTGGTATTAATATTAATAGGGCTTTCGAAAAAGTTACATTGGAAGAAATAATCTTCCATTGACGCGAAAAAATTTGAAAAAATGGGTAAATAATAAACGAAGAAATTATTAATAAAAATCGTTGAAATATTTTATTTTTAATAATTTTAATCTTGCTTTTTAGGGAACGAATTGAATTTATCGAATCAATAAATTTTCAATAAATGTTAAAATTAAATCGTTTCAACAATTTAATAAAATATGATTATTTTCAATTATTTTTAATAAATCTACGATATTTAAAATTTTTCTATTACTATCCAACAAAAATTTCATTTTAATCAATATGTTTTAAATCAATATTCATCTTCGAACTCTATGATTCATTCAAATTATCAAAACTATTCGAATTTAATACAAATAATATATCGAAACACGATTGCATCAAATATTAATAAGAAATGAAAAATCATTTAGAACCCAATTATCACATTTTCTGTGAAACTGATACTGGCAACCAATAATATATATCTTGTCGAACAATCAAATATTCACGCGATAACACTAATCTCATTTCACTCGAATTTCCGTTCACGTTAATCGTGCTAGAAAAAGAAAATAATCTATCGTATATCATATATACATCAAACGATCAGTAACGAAACAATTAATTAAACGTTTCGAGAGAGAAGATACGTTAAAATTTTCCTTGATTTCTATCAAAAATTGTGCCGTGTTCGTTAAATGCGAAATGAAAATGATCAGCATCAATTATCAGTCGATAATCCAGATTCGTTGGACATGGCTGCGGAAGATCGAGGGAAATTATCGAACGATCACGGTCCATCGTCGAGGTCGTTGCCAATTATCGGGCTAATTTTACACGGACGATACCGGATTATTAAATGCGGATGCCTGTATAATTTTGCTTAATCACGCGTGTCAGCTCGCAAGCTCGGCTGGGGAAATTGAAATATCGTTCGAAAGGTACTGTTATAATACTCTGTTGATAATTGGAGTTTTCAATATAATCGACAATCGGAAAAGTAGATAATCCATATTATTCGTTTTTGTTTACGAGTCTCTGACAACTTGTTATTATTTATTGATATTAGACAGCTTTATTAAAAATGATATTTATCAGGCTTTAATTCGACAAATTCAATTTGAAAAAATCATTATGAATAAAATTTCATTTCATTGATTGTTATTAATAATTTTCGATGTAAAAATTTACCATTAATATTATGAATTCCTTTTTTAATTCTAAATCTTTGTGAAACAATTGGAATTCGATGTGAAATATAGTTCGAAATTTGTAAGAAAATTTTTTATAAAAAAAAACTGATATTTATGAAAAGTATTATTTGTTTCATATTATTTGCAAAAAATATTATTCAACGGTACATCAAATCATTAAATTCCAAACACCATGTGTTTCGACCATGTGTAAAGCATACAAGTGAAAAAAATTGAATAAAAATAGCCAAGGATATCGGAAATGGTTTTAAAGAAAACAATTTGAAGAAACAGAACGATTTGATCCTTTAATTACCCGGGAGGAAAACTTATATTTATCTCTCGGAGAATGCGTTCTACGGGTGGCGTAAACTCGAGACGGGGGAATCTAGAATTTCCTTTCGAGGGATGATAACCCCACGTTACCGTGGAAACACTGAATCAATAGCAGGACTAGTTTATTAACACGCTGAAGGCTAAAATAACAGATCTAAGAAGACTACTATATACCTAATATTCTCGAGTTTAATCGGAGGAAATAGTTTTGGTATTGTTGGAAACTGGAATTTATACCCTTTTACGAACTTGAAATTTATATTTAAAGATACGGCATAGATGAAAAGCCGAAGTAGAACTTAGTTTCACAATCTTGTCACGCGTGTCTTTTGACCGAGAATAATTAATAATTCTATACATGAGGAAAGAAACGAAACATTTTTCAAGATAATTTCCACGAAATTCTTTTCAATTTCTAATTTCTAAGAAAAAAGTTTCACAAAGTTTAAATGCATATAAAGTTTGTCCTAAATTTATTTATATGAAATTCCTTTTTAAGAAATTAGAAAATTCGTATAAATTTTCTATTCTAAACTTTTCACAAAAACAAATAAACTGACTATCACTATTATCGATAATTAAATTGAGCCAATGCTCAATGATGAAAACGTTTGAAATAAAAAGTAGAGTCGTAGTTGCGAGTAGAATCGGTCCTCGATCCTTTTTTTACGAGGAAGTCGAGTATTTTTCAATGGCGATGAAGCTCTCATTGGTCGACCGTAAGACCTGTACGAGTCGATAGCTCGTATTTTCGAGCCCAGACGAGGCGTCTTTCCCATCGATCCGACGGAAAGCGTCGCCAGACGACGAGGAGCCGTAATATCGTTACGGGCGGTTGCAACGTAAGACTCGACGACGTGCATGCCACGAGTAAACCGGACATGTCCAAGAATTTTTAATCCTTGCTGATTTTGATCAACATTTTAGAGCAATTTTGATTATACTTCGTGATTGCATTGCGTTACTCGATTATCATTGCTATATACAGTCCAAGTTGTACCATATACAGAATTGTGTGTAAAATTATATTAAAGTATCGATGACTTGAAATAATTATGGAAGAATCCAAGCTTTTTTCTTAAGGATTTATCTTCAGACTTGTATCATTTGTCACACTGTGTAAAAACAATCAGATCGTCGTATATCACAGAAAGAATCAAACTGTAATATTTTCAACGGGCAATATAAGATGTAAAATCATAAACGTATTTTCCAAGCATCGAAAACAATCCCTCGAGGGGTTGTGGAGGGAGGAACGGCGTAAAAGGGAGGAAGGCGGAAGATGAAGACGTAGTTCGATTGTTTTTTGCAAGGGGGTTGCGTATAAAGTGGCGCGAGGCGAGATTTGTGAGATAGGAATTTTAGAATGGGAGGTGAGATACATCGTTTCCGCTCATTGTTAGCAACCCTCCGCGGGGAGAAAATTAACGCTGTACAAACCTGGTTCATGACTCGAGCTTGGCTAAGAAGAGAAGTGAAAAACGAGAGATTGTGCACGAATGCCCAGAAGAACGAATCCTTTATGCCCCGCTCTTTATGCACACCAGACGTGTGTTTACCCCGAAATTACACGTTCGTACGGTTAATAATCGCATCGGCCAACCTCTCCATCCCCTTTTCCCCTACGTGATTCGGCCGACGGGAAGAATTGTTCGGAAAATTTTCAAATAATAATAATCAGTAAATTTTTTGTATTGAGTCGAGTCTAAAAAAAAAGAATATGATGTTCTTTTTTTATGATGGAAAAAAGAAAATTAACGAAATAATTCTTCGACAATTCTCTGTAATAAATCGAATTGTAAAAAAAAGTTTCTCTTATTCTCTTCAATATATTGTATACGATGCAATGAACGTGTTAAAACGTAATAATCGAAGGATCAATGCACAACGTTTCGTTTTAAATTTCGTTTCGCATTGCTAATTTGTGAACAGGTTAGTGAATTAATTTCAACGAATTGCCCCGACGATATAATCAAACTCGAATTCGCAATCGAAGGATCATTGAATAACGCGTTAAAAGTATGTAAATTCGCGCGAAAAGATTTTTAATTAATGGACACGAATTGTATTATTCGTGGATAGAAAATTATTACCGATTCCTACAAATTCAGGCTCGCGATGATTAAACACAAACTTATTTCTGCACGTAATGGGCATCTCTCTGTTTCTTTGACGAGGAATTTTCAAATTTTCTTTAGTAAAAAAAAGAGGATAAAATTACTTTTAATTATTGGAAACTCGTAAACGAGATATTTGAAGATGAATTTTAAAAATGCAAATCTGAGGATACTCGTGTGTCAAATATCAAGGATCAAATAATACGATAGAAACAGGAGAGCGTTATTTTATATCTTTTATTTTTTTCTCTTTTTTCGTGCCTTCTATCCTTAATTCCAATTTCATTTTTATTTAATCTTGACTCTTTGAATAATTTGAATCGAATAATCTTATTATTGCATTAAGAATAGAATGGAATTAAAAAGTTAGGAGTCGACAAAATCTTCGACATCCTTTCATCTACAACAAAGGAATTTTTTTTTTATATCATCCATGTAAAATTATCATGTCTATTAAGCGTATAATTTTATAATTTAAGTTTAATTTTTAGCTAAAGAGAGATTACAATTTCTTGCTGTCTTGCTTCATGCAACTCAACGCAACTCAAATTATTTATAATTCAATAAATAAAGTTAGTATTATAATAACCATTTTTGAATATTAATTTTTGTATTTAAAATCTTCCTAAAGTATTCCACAAATATATTAACATCCTGTATGTTTAATTTAAATTTCATATAAATTATTTATTTACCTTGCCTTATTTATTTCAGGCACTGGCTGGAAGCAAGTACGACGACAAGCATCTCATGAGCAACGAAGTAATGGAGAAGACTCCATCCCCCTTAAAATCGACGTACAACTCCCAATCATCGCGAAACTCTGATTGCCCCCCGTCATCCAAGCCTGCAATGGCGAATCGTCTCCTGGATTGGTTCTCTGTCGTGATGGCTGATTCTAAACACCGTCGCCCTCATCCTAAACCTAAAGGTACGAGCATATAGATCTTAGAACTAGGTCAGTCTTGGATTTATGGTTTGGAATATGACATTCCAATTGAGTTTCGATAATTAGATCGTAGGACGTTGTGGACAAAATTTTCCATCATCGAGTGCCTCTGAGTACTTCGTCAATGTATTATCCTCGTTTTAATTCTTTCTCTTTTTTTATAGCATTATAAACTTTTAAAAAAATTCCAAGACAATTTGGCATCTCTATTTTATTATCCGCGTAAATTTTAAACTAATTGTCGAAATATTTTCTCTCGAACGAGATATTGAAAAGTGAAATTTCAACTGTGAAGAATATCACGGAAGATTAAATGTGCAAACGATTGTTTAAATTTTATTTCATAAAGATTCATAAAGACCTATTAATAATTTTGGTTTTTTTATCAATCAGGTAATTTATAAATAATATATATTATTATTATTATTAAGTTATATTAATATGCTCAATGAAGATATTCACTGTAAGAAAATTTAAATAGCAAGCAATATCAGTTAATTACTTCATTGAAATTAAATTACGAACATGATTTATTTCTCAAATATAACGTTTGAGGAATAGTTCAGTTAATTTTACTCGGGTAAACAATAGCAGGGTATAAAAATCGCGTGACCAATGTAACGATAATTGCATCCCATGTTTTGCTTAACAGTTGGTAGAAACGGAAACGATGGTGACGTGCTAAAAGTTGCTCTAATTATCAGTAAATTGCACATGCGATGACGTGGCGCAACAAATTAGAAACAGAGGTAACAACCATCGAAATTCTTGCATCTCGAGCAAAAATTCCGTTGAAAAATTCATCTTTTATTGATACAGAAACGAAAGAAAAAAATATAAGAATCTGTCAACAGTAATATCGAATGGAAATATCTTTTGAATTCTACCATTTAAATGTAGAAATCCAGAAGAAAATGTAAGAATTCGAAATATATTAGAATCGATCTAAAAAATTGATATAAAAATTCATGTTTGATTAAGACTTTTAATAAATCATTAAATCGACGCAATTCCTAAATTGTCAAATCCTGTTGGAATTATCTGGTGATTCGTGAAAGCCTGTTAAAACCTGAATCGCCAATTCCGATTAGAATCATTAAACCGAGTAATCCAGTCAAAATGACCCCAGAGTTCTTGTAACAAGCCAAAGTCATGAATAGCCAGAATGAAAGTGGACACTGATCAGACACAAAATTAAAATTAGAATAAATAGAATATTAATTTTGACATTTTATTGAACATTTTTTCCTTGTAGAATATTGCCACCATTAAAAAATTCTACGATCGCAAACGAAAGCGATAAATTGCGTTAAAGATTCGAAAAGAAAAAAAAAAAAAAATAGATAAATTCTCGCCCTCAAAAAATCTCTCGATCGTTGGAAGAATTCGAAAGGATTATCTCGCTGGCCGGTTTAACACGTTTAACATTGGGGTTAAAAGTATCGTTGGCGATAAACCATTCAGAACGGGCAAATTCTGTGAGAGAACCGTGGCCGATCGGAGTTGAATATACAAGAGACTAATTGCCCCGCACGAAAAGGGTGGTCTCTCTGGACATTACAGCGCGCACGATCCAAAATAGTTCGGAACTGCCTCACGTCACTGCACGCTATTCGACTTCGGTACAATCACTTTCGTACCAGCGAGGAATTGTCCCATTTAAATGAATCGCTTCCCCCTCAGATCTGTCGCCGATTACTCTCCTCTATCTATGTCGATATTGTTCCCAATTTGTACGGTTTCAATCCGATCTTGCGACCGAAGTATATCCACTGTGAAATGGATCGTTGATAAAGTAATGTGCGTATAATTTTAACAGTGGAAAAATGGTTGTGCAATGGATTCGTTTTGAAAGAAAAATTCGTGTAAATTTTAATAGAATCGTGATCTCCTTGATAAAGATTTATTTTTTAAACTGGAAAGTATACTTATAAACAGTCGTATTCCTATTTCATGTGGATATCGCAAATTTGATATGAAAAGAGAACATTATTATTTTTCTTATAATTCTTCTTTTTAATGAAAAACATCTTTTAAACTTATTTTTATTTATAAAACACAAAGTAGCAAAGATTGAACGATATAGAACGTGTATACTTGATATTTCGAAAACGTATTTCATCATCAGCCATCTTATATTGGAATAAAAGGATATTGATAATTAATATAACACTCTGTCGTATACAATTTTCACTCACTCCCCAAAGCTTTAAACTTTTCATCTCGTTCATCACCACGGAATCGTATCGATCCACCACTTAAATACTGCAATTTCCTGGAAACAGAAACTGATAATATTTTTGCACGGATGCAACTCGTTGAACGCAAGTGCATCCAATGGGTCAATTTTTATTTTAACACATATGTTATGTTACCAAGTTGCGCCCCCGGCCAGAGATATTTATATATTTCTGCCTGCAGAGGCAGGGTCATCGGAATTCATATTTCATTCCTGTGCACTGTTTCCAGGTCACTTCCCTATCGGCTGCCAGAGCGAGGTCAGGTGGATGTTCGGACATTTGGACAGCGACAACGATGGCAGACTCTCTCTTTCCGAGTTGTACGGGTTGGAACACGATCAAAACGAGCCGTGTCTGAAACCGTTCCTCGACGGTTGCGACACGGACAGGTAAGATGACTTCCTGGCCACCCGTGTTATTCCGTTCACGTACATCCTCCACCTAGTTGTCTAACCCGTTTGTTACATTTCGCGGCGAATTTTTCTTTCTTTTATATATATATATATATAATTCCATCGTGTCCGTTGCTTGTAAATCATTAAACTCCGCGGATACGTGACCCGAAAAGGGAACGAAGAGAGAGTGAAAGAGAGGGAGAGAAACCCTTTCAGTTTTTAATACCTTCGAGAGACTTGACGCTCGAGCGTAATAGGTCTCGAGCGTACGTGCCTATGGAGCGGAGAGTGGCTGGTCGTTAAGAGGCAGACACATGGAACGTGTGTGAAACTTTTATTCCGAATCAATTGCTTTTAGCTCGCATGCAAACGGGGAAATAAGAAATGATGGGTCGTTGCGTTTTCGTTCTGTCAGGAACGTATATATATAGAGATTAAATTGGATGTTTAATAATTTACAGGATGGGATATAATCTTCTTCTTGGTAGAAGAAAATAAGAAAATAATTATAAATAATGGATATTAATACTAATGAATTTTCTGAAAATAAACACATTTGTATCATTCTTTCACTGATTGGTTTCTATTATACTCCTTCATCTTTCTATCTATTATTCAAGGAATTTGAAGCTTTATTGTTTTTCTTTTACATTGTAAAAAATCTTAATATATATTGAAAAATATTAGATAGGACAATTTTAACCAAGAAGATATATAATACCAGCAAGCACCAACCATATTTAACAATCCTTTTTCAGAGACATCTTTGTAAGTGGCCCTGAATGGTGTGGATGCTTTTCAAAGGCTGAACGCCCCTGTGCCGCCGTACGTAAACGATCATCGCCCGACGTTGCACCTGCTTGCGATTCTCGAGGGTATTATCGAAGCACCCAGTGCCATCGTGGTCTAGGACTCTGTTGGTGTGTGGATCCTCATGGTGTGGAATTCGCTGGGACTAGAACACGTGGCAGCAAGCCAGATTGCGGTAAAAGGGGTTCAAATTGTGTCAACTGGTAAAACGTTCGTCCAAAACGATTAATATTTATTTTCATAACATTGCAGACACGATCGTGAACAAGATCAGCAACGGTGGATTAAAAACGAATAGCGTAGATTTGGACGATGACGAGGATGGTGGTACAGATTCTGCCCAGGATCTCGAAGGGTCCGCCGATCAGCCATTAGACTTTTAGATTCCTTAGAATCAGCCAGCAACAACAGCAACGGGAGCAGCAACTTAACGTGATATCGAACAGCCGGACGACACGATTCCTCTTGTAAAGGAGAATTGAAAACCGTTCTCCCGGTTGTCCGCTGATTTCGAGTATCGCCGTTGTGATTGGAGGTGTCTTCAAGTGAAACAGGTCGGCGTAGCCTTTTAGGGCACGACTCACGCGTGAATCTAAAAGTCAGAGGAGCAACGAAAGAAATATGAGGATTAACGAGATGTGACACGAGCAGCGGATACCCTCTGGCATCGTGATTGCACGACTTGAATATTAAGTCCTCTTTGTCCATTGGTCATGATCCTTAACCCGAGAATGATCACATTTTTATAATAATTAATTTAACATATTTTTGTTAATTGAATTAGTTTATAGATTGAATTTAAACAATGGATGTTGTATAAATACTTTTTTTATTTTTTTTTTCTCTTCTGTTCATAACACAAGTGCCAAACGGGTTAAGAAGCTGCTGAATCGAAGAATCGTAGGATGCTTGTACAGTGCAATAATTAAAGGGCTACATCGTGCAATAACAATCTCGTGTGACGCTCTATTTTAATCAAATACCATGCAGGAGATGTTCGATGCAGTGACAAAATCGTCCCGATAATTTTAATGAGATACGTTGTACCCTGTGTGCCTGTCGAGGTACCTCCATGCACAACTCTATAAATAATATAATTATATACTATTTATGCATTTACAAATTAGAAGTTTCGCGAGAGAGAGAGAGAGAAGAGAGAAGAGAGAGAGAAAGAGAGAGAGAGAGAAGAGAAGAAAACAATGACAATAGGAGAAGGAAGAAGTTCAT